CCTTACCTATTGAGCTGCAAAGCACAGTTAAAAATCTTACTTGGGGCATTAATCTGTTTTTCCGCGAACACTTTTTAGATTTGTGTCTCAACTGAATAGTCAGACTGAGAAAGCAAACACTTTGCTTCCTTCAGCTCCTTGTTTCAATTATTGCCCCTCTTGTGCTCCAAACAAGAAAGGACTGCAGAAGAAGTACAAAGCAAACTTTTGTGAATGCATTTTCTTGGTCACAGGGGTTTAAACGAAGCAAATCAGAGCCGGAGCTTTGTGGGTCGGCGTAAGAACACGGAGCAGCTCTGCAGGCACTCCTTGTAACGTATTCATTCCCTAATAATCTGCAGCCAGCTGTTTTGACTGATGACCAACTACTGGCTTTATTCTAACAACTGGACCATAGGAATCACTTTGGTTGTCAAATCCTACATGAAGCTTTTCCGTGCAACCTGAGAAGCGTTTGGCTCTGAGATCCTCAGACTACATTTGTGAACATCCATGAAGTGACAGGATATTCTGAAGATGAAACATACCAGCTTGGAAAGACTAAGGTATTCAGTTACAACACCTGTCAATACCATTAAGGAGCCATGTTCCATACTCTTCAGTTAGATGTATTATCTGCAATCAATCACCGCTTAAAGTAAAACCTGTATTACAAAAGACCCCATGCAACAGAGTCTATACATCAGTACAAATGTAAGAAATATTTCTTCATGCTGAAGTGCCTTTTCAGCTGTTATGAAATGAGGAAATAGCTCTCTAGGTTTATTGGATTTCCCAAATGTTAATTTAAAATCATGTGCAGATAACCAATTCAGCTGTGTACTTGAAAAATAGAATAAATTTTCACTCAACAGTTTGTTTTATTGGTGCTGTTTATTTCTCTGTAATTACTCAGCTCATACTCTCCTATTTTATGTTTACAAAGTTGTATAAATACGGATGTGCAGACATGTCTGACAGTTTTGCGGCCATTCTTCTGCTCCTTTAAACTGCAAAAAAGCTTTGTTTAGTGTAACAGGAACAGCTTTCTAACCAAATGAAACTACAAAAAGATAAATTTTCAAAAGAACCTACTAACCAGCAAAGTCATTTTTCTCAAAGGGAGCCAAAGCCTTCAAAAATACGACTTTTTATTCTGGTGGGACATTGTCAGTTAAGCTCCTTAAAATATGCCTCTAGTTGTTACCACAATACCCAGAACACACGTACCTACTAACATGAAGCTGACCAAGTATGTGACTCAGCTTTCGTTTCCAGCTCTCTCAGCTACTGTTGACAGAAAGCAATGAATTAGCACACTAAAGCAGTGCTGTCCTCCAGGAACAGTATCTGTATCACACGGGCAACAGAAAAGGCCATGGATCTTTCATGAGGATGATCCCACCACAGCATGTAACACTCGCTAACCAACTTTGGCCTAGTTTTGCACAAACCTGGCTCAGATCTCTACTACTATTAGAGGTGATGTTCTGTACTCTACTGTAAGTAAAATGTTGTGGCAGCTGAGCTAAATATATAAGCCATTATGGTCTATGAAATAATTTAAAAGCTGTTTTAAAAGCTACACCAATATAGAATTGTAACGGATTAGGATTATACAAACCCTAAAACTGTATATTTAAACTAGAGACCATAACATGCTCTGTATGAGCTATTACTTTAGCTTTTTACCGAGTCTAAATAATTTTGCCACATACCTATTCAAAACCATCACAGTAGCTGGTGGAAGTTAGATTACTCAGAGTAGAAAATATGCTGATAAAAAGAATCACACATATGCAGGAATAAGCACGCTAACTTCTCACGCTTCATAGAAGGCTTTTTTCTTTCTTTGCAATATCCCATTTGGTAGAGGAAAAAAATAGACCCCCAAAGGTTCCCGACGACTACTCATAGCCTGGTGTACACAAACATGTAGGAAGCGGAAGCCAAAGGAAGACCAGGTAGAGGTGAAACATCACTTGATGCTTCTAACGACCGTTTCTTGTTTGCCACACTTCACAACGCAGCATCCATACGAGTCCTGGAACTCAGAACATTCTCCTGCACCTCCTCACACTATATTCAGGCTAGTGACAGGGCAGCAAGTTTTTTTACCAGTATCAAGTTGAAGAAAAGAATTCAAAATGCAATCCAGACAAATGGTGAATAACCTAGCTCAACTCAATTCCTGCGGTGCACTGATGTTTTAAAAAAACACTTTGAACAAGTGGCTGCAACTAGTACAACATACATGCCAACAGAATGAACTCAGCAAGGTTCAGTGCCAAGTCCTAATGTTAATGTAAACTGATTTACATGTCCTTGCAACAGAATTCGACTGAATTTATCTCCATCTGTAACACACTTCTTCCTCCCTTTCAAAAACCAAACCCTACTGAACAGAGACGCCGTCAAGGACAAACAGCTGTGCTTGAAGCCCCATCTAGTGACAAATATTGGAATTGCTGCTAAACAAAAGTAAACTCCCAGATACATCACCGTGCTTGGCAATACTGATTTTGCTACTTTCAACACATTTTGAGATGTAGTCAAATTACAAAATGTTTTCTGCAAACTATACAGGACACTTCTCCCAAGAAACCGACTAGCCAGGAAGCAACAAAACCACTGAGCCTTAAAACTTACATACTTCAACAAATCCACCTATTCTGCTGACACTCGCAGCCATAGAATTAGGAAAACACAGACAGGCATTCATGGCATCCTGACCTCGAACCTGCACTTGAACATCTGCCACCTTCCACCCTGTGCCAGGAAAAGGTTACTTCTGCTTAAGAAAACATCCCAAAGGGCGGATTTCTCTTTTACCAAAAGAAAATCCACTCAAAACCTTGCTGCCAAGTTGCAGTGCAGTGCGGCGGGGGAAGACGCATCAGTGCCCAATACAAGGGCAACGCATCACCTCTCTTCTGAACCCACCAAACTGGAACACATCTGCTGGAAAGCAACAGGCTGCCTTGAGCTCTGTCACAACACGCATCCACACTTTCCTTCAGGGCCATGAGCTCCACAGTCCGTACATGTTCACCATCCCCTTAACAAAGTTTCCCTCTGCTACCCAACCTGCAGACAGGTAATGCAGAAGAAAATTCGCAGGGTAGCTTCCTTCTGAACTCCCTGGCCTTTAACACAACTGAGAAGTCATCTTGTTCTGACTTTCAGCGGCAGTCAGTGAGCTGTTGGGTTCAGAGACCACCACATCCATGCCCTGACCACTGGGAGACACGCTTGGGCGAGGAGCAGAGGATCTTTGGTCTAACACTAGCTCTGTATTGTTTTCCAGGTGGCAAGTTTCCAGACCTCTGCAGGTCTGGGGAGTTGAAAGACTTGCAAACTAAATGTTTTAGTGGGTGGGATCCCCTCAAGCAGCGGAGACAGCATGCATGCCCATCTGGTAGCTGGTATGGCTCCAACGCAGAAGGGACAATATTTGAATCTCGCTGACCTTGAAGAGACAAACCCAAGCCCAGAATTTACAAAAGCTGCCAACATCAAATTATTATCAGCTGTAACTAAATGATCTGTTCTTTTTTTTACCTTTAACTCTTAAACTGCTTACAAGAGTTGAGGCTGGGAAAAAAAGGCAAAAAAAAGGTCCTTCTGTACAGTCTGAACTTTGACAGCAAATAGTTCATATCAAGATAGAGGAAGAACTAAATGGCAATAGACATGTTCCTCTGTTTCATCTTCTCAGAGTCAAGCATGACCTAGCCATGAATGCAAACATGCCACATAAATTCTACTGAGTATTTCCACTGTCAGTCTATATACGCACTAATCATAGGAATTACTGCTTGAAAGAGAATGATTTAAAAAAAAAATATTATCTCAAATTCCCCAATCTAAAGGGTCTTTCCCAGAGGCATGGAAATCTTGGTGTCCAAGCTCTTTCACAGACACATGAAGTTAGCTGACAGCTGAAAGCTTAAGGGAAGCACTACAGCTAATCCATCTTTCCTACTGTAACATATACTCTAGATTTAGCATAAACATCATGGCCACGAGTGTTTACTCAACCCTCAAGTCCTCAAAGTTTATGATTCCAATTCAACTTTCCCTGTCTCCTCCTCTTCTAGAATAGCACTGTCCACAGAGAGAAAGCACCCTACCAGAATAGCTGGAGTTTATCTTCAGCCAGAAGGAACCTTGAAGAGCCTGGGAGACAAATGCTATGTATACCATCTGCTGCCTAGACTTGGCTTCTGGAGTATACAGTATAATTACAGTTTTCCCAGAGGTCTTCGCTATTATCCAGGAACACAGCACGCAAAACAAAAGGAGATATTAAAGCAATATATTTGGCAATGACCTGTCGCTGTTACACAAAATAAGGCTATCCACAACGTTCAGAGCTAACGAAGCCATAGCTTCCATACAAAAGATACAACCAATAAGCTCCTACTTAAAGTTCCCATTTTACAATTTGAATTTGAGGCACTAATCACACATCTGCTAGACATGGAAGAAATGCCTGTCAGTAACATATTAGAAGAAGACTGGACCCCAGCACACAAGCATTCCAGCAGCACATCTCCTAGACAACAATTACTGGAATGTGAACAGCATGGTCCTACATTTAAATAGAGATTATTCACAGTGGTTTGCAGCAGGCCGGCATTAAGACTATCAGACATTAGCTGAAGATGTCAAAATTTTTTCAAGTGCTAGGCATCTTTAGGGAGATTAGACATATAAATACAATGTGGAACAACAATATGCTTTACCCACAAATTTTATACACTTCTCTTGCTGTCTTCGGACACAAGAACAGTAACTGACGCAGAGTGGGGCCCTTCAGTATGTCATTTCAATTTGGTAGCAAACTACTGTGGTTCTTCTGGGTTTGTTCTTGACTTTTCTTATGTTGATTTCAGCTGCCATGTATTAATTTGTAATGTTAAGCTGGGCACACTCAAACAGCTTTCATATGTAAAAAGAACTTCAAAGCATAGAAGAGCTTGAAAAGCATTTCAGCAAACTTGTCTGCAGAAATTTCTTCACCTGTCTTTTTTGAGTTGTGTGAAGACAAGAATACTTTCTTCGTTCAGAAGATTACGTATGTTATATCCATTTCCTACAAATAAAAACAAGTTTTCTTTAGCAGCCACTAGCAATTTTTGAAGTCCTGTCTTCAGCCAAGTGCATTATTATTTCATGTATTTTAACAGAAGGAATATTAGCTCTTAATCTAGGATGCCACTCTTACAGGCACGTCATTGCATTTCAAAGAGATAACAAGGATACAGCTAGCATCATTTGTTTTAACCTGTGATAAGATTAGAGTGCATCTCTGCCGAGAAGATTTTCACTGAAAAGAACGTTACGGGCTTGAGCTCTCATCTCTCAAAGCCCACAAGAAAACTTTAAGGTGACTGAATTTAATTTATACCTATAGTAAATCCAATAAAAACTGCACATGGAAACTTATCTGCAGATCTTCAGTTGTGATTTGCATACTAACATGACCACAAATATAGAAACATCTAAAGGGTACTCAATGTCAGGAATAAGCAACATCCTAACATTCATATACAGCCACTCTTGATTAATCACAAAGAGATCACCCAACCACAACCATTGCACTGCCCATCCAGGGATACTGAGACAGGCCATCAAGAAGCAGGGAAGAATGGAAACAAAGTATAGATCCTTATGGCCATATGGAACTTTCAGCAGTTTTTTCCCAAAAGCAAACTACACTAAATTGTTTCTGCATACCCCTAAACTTATACAATTAGAACAAGCACACACAAAAAAAACCTTCAAAGCATCAAGCATTAATTGAACAATGATTGTTCAATCAAGACATCATGGTGAAAGGTTAGTGGAAAAACAAGTTGTAGCTTGTAATTGTCTAACGCAGCCTCTTCACAAGAAAGCTGTACATAAGCTCTCTACAGATTCATGAACAGCCTGCTTTCCAACCACTACAAACTCTCCTGACTAGTGTCTTGCCCACCGAAGGATGGCTTCCCACATGGAGTTCATTCCACTTCTATCTCAGAAGGGGAAAATCAGAGGTGTCTAAATTCTCAGCAACCCACATGAAGTTACAACCCGTTCAAAAAGACATTCTGCACTTTCCATATATCAAGCACAAAGTGTAAAATACGATGAACTGATCCAAATGGAGTTTCATAATTTTAGGTAGAAAAACCAGCAAACAGGTGGTGACCAAAATAATTATATTAACTACTACTATATTAAGCTGTCTGTGAAGTTTCCCCAACATTATAGCTAGAGACAGAACCAGAATAGCACAAGAAATTCACTCTTAGAACTTGGTAGTGTCATCAAAAACTTTGAGGCCAACTCACATAAGCAGTGTTCGTATCACTGCATTCAAAGGATAGGTCATCAACCCATGCCCAGTGTAGGGTCACATTCCTTTCTTCATAACCCTATACTTTCCCCCTCAAACTAATCTCTTCCCATCATTCAGCTCGGTTTTGCGTCCTAGCATGCTAATTCAGTCTCATCCGTCTCACAAACTGGTTTTAAAAATATGTACTGACCTGCTGGAACATAGAAGAAGTCCCCTGTAGTCAGATAATATGATGTCCGATGTAAGGTGACAATAATTTTTCCGTGGATAACATGGAAAGCCTTAATGAAAGCCAAAGGGTTCTAAGATTAGTAATGTTTTCTTTTCAAACATTTAAGAAAGTTATCTAAGAAAATGTACGCTTTGTTTTGCATACATGTTGTAACAAAGACCAAAAACCAGATAAGCTAGCAGAGCTGCAATGCCCTTTTCCCACCCTGCTGTAAAATAAGATGCACAACTTAAAAGGGGACTGGGGGCCAATTTTGTTGATTTGATACTTCTGTCTTGCCTACAAGATCCAGACAGTAAGCATACATACAGGTTTAATGTGAAGCAAAGCAGGGCAACGCGCATGCAAAGTACCTCTAGCAAGTTTCTTTGGTTGTAACTCATTTCACAACTGAAATGACTCATTAATGTTTCCTCTCTTTATTTGCATTATAGGGAAAAAAAAAAACCCTGTCAGCTTTATATGCTACTGCCAACCATTCTAAGATTTTCTGTTTACATAGTCAATTTTTATAAAAATAGGAAAAAAGCACACTTACTATTGTATCCATGTGGACAAACTGGTGTCCCTTTTCTTTAAATGGTTTCAAAATCAATCTACCAGTGGCAAAAGCAGATGTATTTAAATTTTTATATATTTCTACTGATTCATCTTTGAAGAAGTGACAGCTTTCAGTGCTAACACATTCTACAAAAAAAGTCCAGGAGATTAACATTAATGCTAACACATAACAAAGTCTTGTTACTTGCTCAGTAACTACTTATTAAATCATATGCATTACATGTTGTTTCAGTCCAACACCCCCAAGACCTAGACTGAATATTTAGCTGAAAAATCAGGACACTTTTTGTGTCTCCCTCAGAATTTTCTCCAGAAGAGCAATGAATATTTCAACAGCTCACCTTTTTATGCTCAATGTGGCATGAACACATTTTTTTCTTATCAGTCTAGACACTTACTACGTAATTCAGAAAGGCCCTTGGTCACATCCCTACAACTCACCTAGAAGTACTTCCTCACTTGTTGCTGGGTCCAGTACAGCGGTTGGCTTAGAAGTATCAGCTAGTGTGTGATACAAATCTGCAGGTATGTCACTTCCTGGGGAGAAAAACAAAAAAAAAAAAAAAAAACACCAGAAAAATAATCACTCTACATTTTTAAAACTTAACCATTTAACCACAACTTTTCCATAATTTTAGATTTCACACTTAAGTGCTCAAATTTGTTTTATTAAGTGACTAAACAGACTTTCTTCATACAAAAGGAAACCATCCATAACAATTCTTTGAAAATGTAATTTTCATTGGAATTATTTCTGTGAGCAATAGCTACAGGGTCTCTAAATCCCGAAGAATTTTCCAGGGGAATGCGAACTATTTATCCTATCCTATTAACGACAGTATTTACTCAAAAGTATCTGCGTTTTAAGAGAAGTGCTTTTCTAGCAACAGATGCTGAGAGGATATAAAATACAGGACGAAGTATGAAGAACAAGTTTTTTCCTCTTACCTACTGCTGATGGGCATCAGGAGACTTAAGAGATAAAGTGTTCAAAAGAATAAGCACATGTTCAATTATCCTTTCCTCGAGAAATACCATTACAGGAATCTCACTGTAAGTTGTAAATCAGAGAACTACTACTATCATAAAAAGGATTTTTCCAGAGAAGGAAATAGCCTAAGAGTTGATGACAACCTTACATTTTTCAAAAAGAGACGAGACACTGGAGAATGTTCATGACAAAATAAATATCCCAAAGCTCTCCTGCAGAACTCTCTTAAGCAGTCAATTTTAGCTCTATAGTGCACAAGAAATTTCTTTAAATGCAGTCAGAACAAGGGTGTTAAAGGCAAGCTATAGCACTTTATAGGCACTCATGGCTGCTTAAATACTCTTAGGCCAAGACAGTCCAGTGGCAGGAAGAAAGTTACTATGTTTGAAATAGTTTTGTTCCAACATAACCATCTCTCTATAAACAGAAGCAGCAACGGGTGCAACGCTATAGCTATAATCACAGAGTTTTTATCGTATCAACACAATTTTGGAATTTGTTCTAGAAATTCAACTCAGCTGATGGTCCTTATACGTTACTTAAGATTCAACGACACTAGCGAACGATTGTATCTCAGGATGAATGCCTGTTAAAAAGGAAATCTATCACTTCTGGAAGACAGCTCAAATGCGCCTAAAGCAACCAATAATTCTTATAAGATACAGTATGAACAGTCACCAGCTCAGGTTTGCACGGACTGCAAATGATTTATATTAAAACATAAACTGTACTTAGACCAAAGGTTGATCTAGACCAGGATGCTGTCTCACATTAACAGCCAAACGCAGGTGCCCCTTCCATCCCCAAAAATGCTGTAACAGAGTAAAGGCATTTCCATATCTAACACAGAGCTCACATGCTTTATTTAGAGCTATTAAGTCTTCTGTGAATTTATCTAGTTCTTGCCTTGAATCGACATAAATATTTTTATCCATGGTATTCTGGGGCAGAGAGCACACAGTGAGAAGAGCCACCTTATGTTGCCTGAAAAACCCAGCTCTCACCATCTTCCTTACACACCTTCTAGTTCTTGTGTTTAAAAACAAACAAATAAAAAAACAACAGAACAAACCGCAATTTACTTATTTTCCCCTCCTCCATGCCACTCATGATTTTATAGGTCTTTTTCACACCTCCACAGTATTCTCTTCAGTGCTGAGGAGCCTTCCCCACATAGATGCTTCTTGTACAGAAGTCCTTCCATGTTCTTGACAAGCTTTCTCTGAACCTTCTCTAGTCCTACTACCTTCTTTTTGAGGTAAGGAATAAAATTAACGTGTACACTCTAGAAAATCAGAAATTTGTACCAACATTGAGTGTTCTCTTTCTTATTTCTCCAATTATTATTTCAGCCCTGATTTAATTTAGAACTGTGTCAGGACCATGTGGCATTTTCCATGTTTGTTGGCATTTGTTTTATTTGTTCTATAACTTCACACGGAAATGTTTCAGTCTCAAACAAAAGCTCTAGACAGTCCCCATAAAGAAAGGTTCTTTATCATCAAAACATCTTCCACAGAGACCACTGCAAAAATAATATTGCTTTTGGATTTTGACTCTATCCCTCTTTTCTGAGCACTACCTACATATTTATTACCTACTGGTCACAGAGGCTCTAGCACAGCCTCCTGTTCCTGTTTGTTTAAACATGGATTCATTGCCCACTTTTAAACATTTTATTACGCACTGTTCTTAAAGCTCTCTCTTCACCTGCCTTGTTCATTTGTCATATTTGACCTACAATAGCTTAAAACTCTATTGACACTGTATGCTGCCTTTTCAGAAGTGATAGTACGGGTATCAGTAAAATGACCAGAAGTTTTTATACCTTAACTGTGCATTATGAAACTAAACACGTTAGCATCATTAATGAATGAGCTGGACAGAAGTACAGCTTATTTTCTTCAACCCCTGCTTTAAAGGCATCACAACACTTCTGAATATGTCCTGTATCTCTTCCTTTCTAACACTGAGAAGTTAAGCTTTTTAAGACAAGATTACGCAGCATTGCAACAGATACAATAAGAACAGTTTTTTCCACATCAAATCACATTAATGCATTTCATTATAAAATTATTCTCACCCAGAGAGAGCTGAGTTTTTATAGGAGAAAAATCTTACAACCACGGAGTATTGGATTACGGAATTTTTTTTTTTAAGTACCAAAAGAAAAAAAGTCTGTGTTCATACTTGTTTCATCTCTTTTCTGCTTGTGACCACCCTTCCTCCGTATAATCTTCCTGTGAGGTTCTGTTTCTGGACACACTATTCCACTAATCACAAGCCCTCCTGAAAAAAAAGAAAGTTAAACAAAGTTCACTAACTCCTAATAATTTTACAAGAATGAAGACTTGCACAACCAACAAGCATTTCAGCTGAGAATATATATCCTAGATGATGAACTTTTGAGATAGTTTCAGAAAGCTACAACAAACCAAAAAGCTTTTCAACAAGTATTTCGGAGTACAATGCAACTTGAGACTTTCTGAAAATAATTTGATCATATTTGAGTCAAAGAACGTTTCAGAAAGCCGTGACATATGAGTCAATTTTTAAAACAAAATATCACTTTTAAGGACACCAAGAGATACTATTTTCAAGCAGACTAATTAATTAGGAAAGGACCAAATTAGGCTGAACTGTCAGAAAAAATCCCTGAGATCAAGATATATTCTATCACTTAAGGAATTTAACACTGAGATTGGATAAAAAAATTATAGTATCTGCTCTGGAGAACAACTCTCGTACAAAGAGAAACACTCCAATGAATGATCCAGTAGATTGTCTCTTTTTCTGGTATCATACAGAATCTTTGATGTAATAAACCTGCTAGTACAGAGAAAACATTTTGTTCTTCCCTAAACAGTTAAGGCAAGGGTACTTAACATGCTCTGCTGATACTATTTCTAGCTGACACAGGAATATCAGGAGAGAAAGACTACACAGAAAGACCACTAAATAGCTGGATACTATAAATAATCTACTTTTTTAAAAAATTACCAAATAGTAAGCGTCTCAAAGCTTTCATGGCTTTTTCATGACAAGATCAACACACAGATTTTTCTTTACTGCCCTATCAGGAGAAAGCAAATAGGTACTTTGGAATTAATACCTGAAGGCCTCATCGTATAGTTTACACGCTCGCCTCGCCAATATTCCAGAGGTCTTAGTCGTATCCTTTTTGTCCGACGAACATTAGGTGTGTTGGAAGGCATTACTAATTTAAAGGATGAAATCATTAAGTATGAAAGGAAAATTCAGAAATGGAAAACATTAAAGATCCTTTCCTGTTGTTCTGTACCAGGGGTCAGCACTTCCCAGCTGATATTTATATCAGATTGCTGTCATGACAGGAAAAGAGAATCAAGTATTGCTAAAAGCCTTCTTTTGCACGCAACAGTATTTCACTCTCCTTTTTTCTGAATAATCACCATGCTGACTTTACATTACATTTCATTCTATATATCTTAGTGAATTACTGAGATACGGACACAAGCAGAAGGATTAGGGACTCAACCACAAGGAGCAGTAAACATGCTACAGCTGTGAAGACAAAGCTCTTGACAACAACTAAGAACCGTGCCTAAATCTGAGGGATTTCATTAGCAATGGTGAACAGGCACTGCCTTGGTTATGGCAAAAGAATAGTAACAGAGACTGCATAAGCAGTCCCTCTTCCAGATTCTCAAGTCCCATCTCTGAGGTCCACAAGAGCAGCACTTTTGCCAACAGAAACTTCATACATTTCCAAGACTTCTCAGATATTTATCTTCAGATTTACTTATTACACAATCTCAACTTCCAATTTTTCTCAGCTGCTATAGATGAATACAGTAAGAATTTATATTTTAGTGTTTGTAAGAAAGAATAAAAGCCTCTTAAGAGCTGAGAGCAAATGAGTCAGGAATATCTAACTGCTAAAAATAAAGACGCTAAATAAAAAAAATTGCTGAAATAGTATTTGAAGGTAGACAACTATAGCATTGTGCATAATATAATAATGAAGGGAATAAAAACCAATAAAAAGAGATTAGTATGAGACTACAGTTGACTGCATGTCCATTGTTCCATGCTATCCAGACTCAGACCACCACAGAACGAAGGTTATTTGCGCCCTCAGTTACACTCTGTGAAACTAATTCAAATTCTTACTGTTCTCACTGAATTGTAAGCACTGTCTTGACTCAATATTAAATGAAAAATGGAAATGTGACAGTTAAGATAATTGTTGAATATAGTAATAAAAAAAGAAACACTAGAACTAGTTTTTAAAAGTAACTTAAAAATCAGAGCAGGGTTATAGTACCCTGAAGAACCAACAAGCCTTATCCGTAAATACTTATTAACATACGAACCCATTTTTAGGTGCTTTCCTGTGTCTCCTTCAGCAAAGTCTACATCAAGTTGGAAACGCATCTGTATTTATGCACTTAAATTGAGATATTTTAATATAAAAATCTTACCTATTTTATGCCTTGCTATGTTGTCAGACAACAGATTTCTTACTTGACAATTCAAGTCTTCAGAATTATCTGAAAATACATTCAAAAAAACACCACTCCAGGCATTTACTATTCCTGACTTTTATTCAATATACCCACTAGAAGCAACCAAAGGTAATACAAGCAGAAATTCCAATGTTAGTGTTCCCACTAACATTTTTTTCTTTAAACATGTATGAAACCCAATGCAGATAAACAGTATATGTAGTTTTTAAACAGTGTAAGCTTGAAAATTACACAAAAGCTATATATTCAAGTAAATATTCTTCACACCCATCCCTCTGATAAAACAAACATTGGCAAATTATAACAACACATACAATTTTATTGATGAAAGTGCAGAGTCATTCATCTTTATACCATCCAAGCCTAACTTTTGAACAAACTTCTCAGACAATACACAAGACTAGGTCTCTGAAGAAAGCATTGCATGAACCAAGAACATTCACAACTGGCTCTAAAACACTAACGAAAAGACCTTCTGTCCCCAGGGCTCATATTCATTATGACAATATGCGTAACTCATGCAGGGAAACTTCAAAGAAAACCAGGATATTTTTAGGCAAACAGGCCACGATTCCACAAGGCTGTACAATCTGGCCTAGGGTGACCTGAAGTGATCGTATATAGTACCATCATATGGCAACACACCAAACTGGTACAAACTGAGTTCAAAAAATTTGTTCAAACTATTTGGGAAGAATAACTTTACCCTGGTAGGCTTGATGCCAAACCATGTAGCACTTGTCCTTCCAAAGCTAACTCAACATAAAGCTGGCATACTGTACCATATATGTACTTGGGCAGAAATGTGACCACAGCCAATGCAATCTGCATTTCTTATTCTGGACAAGCAAAATATAACAGAAATTACTGTAGCAGCAATTACAGCTTCTAAGAAGCTTACACATAAAATGCAAGAAAATACCAATTTTAAACATTACCTGAAGATGTATCATCCTGTTCACAAGACTTACTTCGGGAAGCAAATTTATCACACTGTTCTAGAACAGGCCCACTTCTAAGGAAATTAAAAAAAACCACACCTGCTTGAATATGTTAAATGTCAAAGGAACATTACAGCACTACCAAGAATATCAAATTTAAGTTTTTTTCAGATTATGTGGGGTGGGGTTTTTTTTCCCTTCTAAACATTCATCTGTATTGATAAGACACTGAAGCAAATGACTGCCAGTTCAGAATCACAGGTCTGAAATTCATCAATTGCTCCACTGCTTGGTCATCGGGCAGACACACTAGCATTCACACCTTCTCTCTAAACAGGTTTCCTAAATGTCTTGTAACTTCTTTTTCTTTTTTCTCCCTCCCAGAAGAAACAGACCTTCTCCTCTCCTCTATAGCATTACCTTTCAAACAATTTTCCACAGACAATGCTTATAGAAGTGTTTTAAATAATTGTTTTGCATACCGTAAGGAAAGCACAGTAAAGCAGTTTGTAATTGTAACTTGTAACATGTATTCTGTCATAAAATCTCCCTCATAAAAATGACAATAATTAACATGTATATAACTCAAAAATCGCACACTAATGCGGAAGCAAGCCTCAAGGAAAAATAAATCCCATTTTTACTATGACCCCTTATTCGTGATAGGAAGAAGAGTTTTATTAGTTTAACAACTGTATTAGCACAGTATTTAAACACCTCAGGCATAAATCATGAACCATTTTCTGCTAGGTTCTTTGCTAGTAGAACACAGAACACAGTGGCAGTACCAAACAGGTATTTCATATGAGTGGGGCAGAAGTGGGATTAAATGCAAGTTTTACAGACAACTCAGGAAATTACCTTTCGTGACCCATAACCTTCTCAACTGCAAAAGCATCTCTAGAAGATAAAAAAAATGTTATTATTACTTTTACCGTTAAGTCAATTTTACTTACTGCAAGGAATCTGTAGGTCAATAATTTTATGTACTGAACAGAACCATAAAAAAGACATTTAAAAAAAAATTTTAAAAAGCAGTTATTAAAAACTCTGGTTAAAGAAATGTCCTCTTTTGATTACCAATCCTTAGTAAAGTTCCTTCCACAAAAATAAATATAACCCAAGGATTAAACACTGCATTTTTCTCATTTTATAAACAAAGTAACAAACCTGACAGTGAAGTTACTCTACGGGTGTTGGGGTTGTGTGTGCATGTGTCTTTTGCCTTTTGTCTTTTTCTTTGTTTTTAAACTGGACCTGCTACTCAAGTCTCAAAAGAACACTTCAAAAATTCCAGCACAAGTTTCCTTATGTAGAAGCAGACACTAGACTTGGCACCCACCTTTGAGAACAGGATGTTGATTACACCACTTGGTTTCTTTATTAGGTATTCAAACAGTCTGAAACTGTCACATAGTTCAATTGGGCCATTTACTGCTTAAAAGTTAACAAGATGTGTCCAATTATGTACCAAGTTATACCACACTTGTAAAGAATTACATAAAAAGCTTACTGTAGTCCATGTTGCGTTTTACGTTTTCTTTTTTTACTTTTTATTTTCACATCTGATAACTTCTGGTTTTTTCTTGGCATGTCCTGTACAGAAGAGCTGTCACAATTCAGTCGAGATTCAGTGTCCTCAGGGTTTGAGCAAACACCTTTACTGGTTCTGTGAGGAATCTTTTCAGGTATCTTCCCTGAAGACTTAGCTGACAACCGTTTGTTTTCAGAATTCTTCACGCTGTCCACGAGATGGTGTATTGCTTTTACAGGAGTTTTGTTATTTGCACCACCAAGTGACTCCAGTGTGTGCAATACATTTTTAGGATTTTCAGACTTAGCCAACGTCTGAATCACAGAAGTCTGTAATTTCTGATGCAGGGGTGAGGTAAAGACTTCATTTAGTTTTACAGGCTCTCTTTCAAGTTCTTCTTCACCAGGTTCACTGTCAGAACTCTCCTCTCTTTGTAACTGAGGCTTTTTACTGCTAATTTTCTTGACAGATTTTTTCAGCTTGTTCCTTGTACTTTCTGCCAGTCTCTTAGCTACTGCCTCCTTTGGAAGTTTCTGTTTAGCAGTTTTTTTCTTGTGAACTAAATGCTGAGCAGCTTTTGAAGCCAACTGCAGATACTTGGAAGACTTGAGATTCTTTTTCGGAGACACAGTCCACTCTTGCTGATGCCCAGCTGAGGGCATAAGTGAATCCTCACTTGACATCACCCTTGTTTTACACTGCTCTGCATCAGATGCTTTTGTTTCCAATTCAGACAGTGACAACATCAGTTCTTCAGCTTCTAGTTTCCAGGATGTGTCCCTTCTCTGGTTTGGAGAACGTTGCCTAAGTGCATCCTTTTCAGTCTTTCCTATCAATACACAAAACACTTCTACGTTAGTATCTTTTCCCATTAAATCTGAGGATATATGTTGACATCTGAACATAGAAAAATAAACCAAAGAATGAAAAAAAGAAAACCAAGTATCACAAAACCAGATTTTCCCCTGATGGGTAAAAAAAGGTTTTCTCTGAACTACAGCATATGAAAAAGTCAAAACAGACTTTTTGGTGTACTTCCAGTATTTCCTAGCAGAAAAAAAGGACAGAAATATTACATTTGATCTGCTTTCCAGTTTTCCAGATAGAGACAGGAGCAAAAGCTTGCAAGTATCAACCTTTGTCTCCTCATAAGAAAAGGCAACAATGCTAACTTAATTTTTGATGTCCTAAGAGGAAGGGCAGGGTAGGGGGGAGGGCACGTAGGGAGAAGAGCAAAGACCCTCTGCCTCACTGCCTTACATACATGCAAACCTAACTGTGCAAATGAAACATCAATTAGGAATCCATTAATGTCTCTTATCTACTTTATCCTTATCTCTGAATAAACAACCACAAAAATATCCAGTAATATGACCTGGAAGGAGAAGTCTGAAGACCTATTAAATAACTTACCCTTACAAGTACTGGTTTGCCTTTGAGATTTAAGGACTTTTCCTTCACTGTTAGAGACTGGATCTGATTCTGATGCTCCTTCGAAGTCATGTACCCTGACATTCAAATCATCCATTTTCTGTTCAGTAAACGCTTCAACCTGTACTTTTCTGTTCTTGTCTTTCTTATTCTCTGTCTTCTCATTTTCAGACAGCTGAGTTTTAGAAACAGGAGTTGCAGAGCCATCTTTTTTTGATTTTTTGTTCTTATGGGGTATTGAAAACCAAGAATTAAAAGATACACCATCCGAATCATCAATTAAAAATTCACATTCATTTTCTATTTCTACATCTTGATCTTCCACAGGAGGAGGTGATGGTGGTGATATTGAGGCTGAATACCTAAAAAAAGGAGGGACAAATTATTCACGTCATTTCAGGATAAAAAAAAATTTACTTTCAGTCTTACAAATCTAGTGGTGACTCTAGAACACCTAAACACTCTACAGGACATTCCTTGGAAGAATTATTATAAAGTCCATCATTCACTGCCCTTTAGCTTCTAAAAAGGGCACTAGGCCTGCTTTTCCTTGCTTTGACCTCATATTCACACCTCATTATTTCCCAGATGCTGGAAAGTCAATTTCCTATCTAACCAGTCAGATTCACATAGGCTCTGAAAAAGACTGCTTGATCACTGCTGACTTCAGAAACACGTGAGGTTTTCCTGAATCCTCCAAGCTACCTATCAAAGCATCTCAGGCTCAATCTGAAACACGACTCAACAGCTACATACGATTTTATGGCAGACAAAAGCAACAGCACTGTTAAATCCCAACAGAACAAAACTTCGAAACAACTATTCAAACCCTTTCTCTAGTAGCATTTTTCAGTAATGCTGGACTATCCCAAAACATTCTCCCAGACTATGTTTATACGTAAAAGGATGTTGTTCCAATACCCAGGACTGGGTTATTTTACTAGCAAATCATGTTCTACATTAAGCCTCAAAACAAACCTTTTTCCAAGCGTGCCTGTTGCTACAGCTGCTAAGACAACTGAAGAGAAAGACTTCTCTTTCTGTGCAGAAGATGTAGCAATACATTCTGTTCCTTGCACGAGAACAACCTTCTCATCTCTCCCAGTCTGAGGTCCTTCCAAATTTTCAACTTCCACGTGGCTCTTCACTGCAGGAGGACTATTTTGGTCATCAAAATGTAATCTATGTATGAGAAACAGCATTCAAATACAATGCTATAAATCCTGAGTGCACATTAAAGTATTGTGTGGATGGACAGATGCTCTCATTTCCTCCTGATGACAGTGTCTTACTTCTTATGAATGAGATTCCATTTGTTAATTTGCTGAAACACAGGTTCCCAGCATAGCAACAAATGTCCAAATCAATGAGGCAACATGGGGGCAGCTTGTGACTCGTGATCAAAGTGCTGCTCAGCAAGACAAATTCCTCATTTCAGGAGAATGTGCTTCAGAAATTGTCAGGTTTCCCACTCCCTAGGCACACCCTCTTCCCAGTCTCGCTCCATCAATGGGAGTCAAGGGGATGAGCAGCAGGCCCTCTCTATAATCTGCCCTGGAGATTCAGTCCTCCAGGAATGCAGAACTGTGGCTGGAACCACTGGCCACTACTGCAGCTGGGCTTCAAATTTTCCAAAGAGGAGATAATGATCACAACTGAAGTTGTTCTGTTTTGTATAAAACATTTGTATATTCAGAGGGAGAGGGACAATGACTGCTTGCCTCTGCTAAAACAAATTTCTTGTTAACTTTCAAGGTCAACACTGTCAACAAGATTCACTGAAAATGTCTAGACTCTCTGAGAAGCTGACGATTTGGGGCACTTCCCTGGGAAAAAGGAGTTCAGATTTATTCTGACAGGCTTCCTGCACCTGGGTACTGCACTTTTGGCAATCAACCCTTGCCACCAGAATATTTAATAAAAGAACAATTCTGCCCTTTCTAAACTCAGATATGGAAATTTTCTAAGCTTGGAATTATTTTTTATGAGTTCACAATCCAAACTCATAAATGACTGAAACCACCGTGTTTATTTACTGTAGGGGGTGAGGGGGTGGGGTATGGGGGGCATAACACCACCACCATGTTCAGCTCTACTTACGTATGTACAGGAGAACTGTTTGCTTCCTCCATAAGAAGAGGTGATCCAACAAACCCATTATCATCCTCAGGGTCCGAAGACACGGCAGGACTTCTGCATAGTGCTTCAACATATTTTAATACATTATTTGTTTGTCTTTTAGACACAGGAGACACTGTTTTTTCAGAATCAGCTACATAATCATGTATTGCAGGCTTCAGGGGTGATTCTTGTGACCATCCTGACATATATAGAGAACCGGTTTAATTGTTCTACTCAAAACCTTACAAAATCCCAAGAAATAGTTACCCAAAAAAACTTAATTCAGTAACAGTGCTACCAACCTCTGCTGCTGACTGTTTTCAGTTGTGACACAGGTGAAAACTCTGCAGAACTACAGGCTCCTTTCACAGAGTTAGTTAACGCTGCTTCTGGCTGTCATAGTTGATAACGAATAGTGAGACAAAGTAAAATACTTGATAAAGCAACAGTATGTTGACAGGAATACACATTTCTACAGAATACGATATAATTTCCTTCCCTTCACTCTTACTCATTTGAAGCACATTTCTATTTTAACAAAACACTTCAATTTTCTAGCACATAAGACTTTTCTAAAGACTTTCTAAAACTAAAACAACAACAACAAACAACAGGTAAAACAGTATGTAGAGTAAAAATCAATTTGCAGCTTTGAACAGACACCCTGTTAGTCCACAGGAAAGCTATTTACTCTTTTAGTTAGAATGAATGAATTTAATTTAATTCATCTTTATTAAGCCAGGTTGAGGTTTTGCAAGAATTGCTTCGAGATTAGACGGCATTATAACATCAGACTAAAGTAAACAAACACCATTATAAAGAATGCCTGTTCTCAACACTGCCATTAATAGACTATGCTAGACTATCCTGTTTTTACAAAAACTACTAGAATCAAAATATTAAACCTAAATGTACAAACTAAATTATTCGCATCATTCTCTCAGACAGCACATTAACAAGTCCTTCAACTTGTTTCCATTCTTCAACAAAGTTACAGATACACACAATTACTGTACAGATAACCGTTTATCAGGAGTTGACAAGCTGCTTTTATACAAGAATCATTCAATTTTACTATCCATCTGATCGCTAAGAACTGTGTCCACATATCTGGCAAACTGACTGAAACCAACCCCAACGGAGTGCAAGACAGCTACAGCCACCATCAGTTATAAGTCAAGTGTGCCTCAATCTGAGACCATGAGAAATTTATCTACCCTGGTCAAAAGCTGAAAAAGCTTTCATTAGCAAAAACCCAAGAAAATAAGCTATTAAATAAATCTAGTTACAGAATATTTACTATTAGAGCACAACCAACTAAGAAAAAAACATTACCAACAACTATTACAGAAAGTTAAATTATAGCCTATATACTAATACAAGCGACATATGGAGCTTATTCATTGAACACTCATACAGAACTAAATCCTTCAGAATTAAACTTGTACCCCGTGAAACTGTACCCAATGCTACACTGTGACACTGCCGTAACTAACTTACCCTTTGACTCTGTATCGAAGTCCTCTTCTCGTTTCCGACAACAGGAGTTGAGCAACAGGTTGCACTCGGAGAGTTTATTGTAAGATCACTGCCACAATCTATAAAGAAAAAACTATTAAATAGGGGATGCTTGGAATCGTCCGGGTTTCATTTATTTTAACAAGCTGCTAAGGCTAGTTAAGGTCACATAAATTCAAACAAGAAAGAAAACAGATATTTGGGAAGGAGATTACCTTTGTAAGACAGCTAAGACACAGTTCGAAGTGGCTAGGAATGGGGTGCTTTTAAAGCCTGTCAGAAAGACTTTATTTTTATCCATTTTATCTCTATTTTTTATTTCTATTTATTTACCACTAAATACAATACAAGAAAGAAATTATTTTTTTCTTTAACCAACAAATTAAGCAAAACACCAGATAAAAGCTTACTTTCGAAACAATCCCGTATGAGTTTCAGGACATTTTGACCTGGTTGTATATCAATCTTATTTCTAGAAAGAAGAGGGGGGGGGGGGAAAAATTAAACCAAAAAACTTAAATGCTTCTATCCCAGCAATATAAAAGTAGTAAAGTTCTTGCTACTTAGTATCTTAGATTATTATTTCCACTAGTCCCAACTTTAATATATTTTACCTACCATTTCTATGCACAGATACCTGCAAAGAAACTTGTCTAAATGCGGATTCCAGGACAAAAAGCCCCACTGTCACAGAGTATGACAAGAATGAAGAAATCTCTCTTAATAAAAGAAAACATAAAAGTACTGCGATAGCCTTCAGGTAAAAGAGCTTTGGGATGGATACAGATTCTCGTGTGAAATACATAAATTCTTTAAAAATCAGTCCTCGAGTAATATGTCGCCTGCACAGTGATCCAGTCTCAGCAGACCCAGAAGTGAGATGTCTAGGCCGCACATCTCTTGCTTCATACAAGGAGTCTTCCTCTGCTTCTCTTTCTACCGTTTATCCACAGTTATTCTGTGCTTCTACAAAAGCTTCAACAGTAAGAATTGGCTTGAGGTATCAAATCCATAAGGAAGCGAACAGCTCGGCTACTTGGATTACTACTGCAAACCTCCCCAGGACAAATGAAATGGGCAGAAGTGATCCACCAGCCAGACCATGTTAATCAAAACCAAAATAACACAAGAAAAGCCATGGAGTATTTCTCCCATAATGATTATTATATGCCTTCAAAAACAGGTAATTTGGTAGATATGGTAAGTTCATGAAATGCATGGCTAAAAATGGATTCTAGTAACAAAAAGCTCATGGACTTCTGACATGCCTTTAAAGAAAACTACAGCACTGCAGCTACTCAAACTCATCTCCAACATTTACCAGCAAAGGCCAAATAAGCCAGAACTCTGCGTGGGCTTCATTTCTCTGCCTCACAAAAGGCAAAACGTTTGCACAGACTACTGCTTCCACGCTCAGGCGGCCTAGTTAGGTGTAGCTTAGGTATAGCTACTCCACAGCCTGCTGCCTCCACAGAGGAATACAAAGGAAATCCTTGGCGCTTCATCCCCCAGCACAGTTTGCTCCTCCCACCACTAAGAAATACAAGAAGTTCGGGCAACATCATATGATCAGTTTAATAAGATACACCCAACAGTTTTGACATTAAGCTCTCAGACAAAAATCAATGTAAGTTTTCCAAACAATGTATCTAAGAATAAAATTTTACATGTAAATTACCCTCCTCCATGGCAGAATCTTGCTCTGTATCCTTTCTTAAAAAGATTCTGTGAAGAAATAAGAAATCAATTTTTATTAAGTGCGGTGACACTCCACGGCAAAATAAATGACCAATCTCCTGCTTCTTGTGTAAGCAAGTCTCGAGGATTCTCTGTAACTAGTTACTGAAGCGCTGTTTTTTCTTGTAATGCTGCAGTAGCTACCACTTCTGTAACAACTGCCAGAAACTCGGCTTTCCTCAAGAACCATCAAGGATCTGTTGCATTTAAAGTCAGAGCGACTTACAGGAGACGTACATGACAGCAATCACAGAGGACCTCAGGATTTGGTTAACATTTGTGTGATGACTACATAAATAATCTTTTAAGTAAGGAAGAGGAATGAACTACCACAAAGCAAGCTAGGACATAACCTCAGAACACACCTGCTACTCTGTGAGAACTGCTCACATGGAGATTCTTACCCTGTGTTTATCACAGGCAAGACCACCATCGACAAGCAGCAAGAGCACATCAGCTGTTCCATGGCAAAACTAAAGTCTTGATTAACTCCAAGCACTTTATCATACACTTGAACCCTGAGTATAATCAAAGTCATTCGAATAACAGACATGACTCCAGTCATCTATTACCACAACTAGAGTAGTAATAATTCGAACAACAGTATATTATCGGGGTTACTTTCTATGCCAACTAATGAAACAAAGCCTACTGAGCTGGGAACAGGCAAAGACTGTAGAGAATATAAACGGGAAGGAAGGGCAAGCCAAGAAAAATTAAAGAGCTAAGCAGAGTTCAGGTTTTCGCCAACGTGACAAGAAAATGTCTCAAAAAAAAAAAAATCCAAACATTCACCTGAAAAACAATTATGACCTCTTCTTTATTTGTGTAAACTGGAATAGAGCGTATGTGCAGTATGGACATTATCTAGTCCTAATACAAAAGAATTCCGCACATTTTTCCTAAGTTTGTCATACCGACATTACTTTGCACTTTATTGTGATTCCTCTTTGCATATCAGTCCTGACAATAAAAATAACCAAAACCACATAAGGATTTATTCCACTGCAACTTTTCAAGATCAGCTTAAACTGGCAGGAGGAAAATCTAGGTCACACGGGAAAACATCTGACCAAAAGCCACCACTTCAGAAACAGTGCAGAACCATATTCCACAGCAAATCAGTCACTCAGGCTTAAATTTCTTCCCCTTGCAGCGGAGGGCAGTATAATTAACTGGCAAGCAACCTTTCATATAAGAAAATGAAAAATTCCTGTAACAGATCTAAAAGAGCTTTTAGCAGTTTCTTTATTGTTATGTTCATACCTCTCTACACACAAAGAGCTTTTAAAACTTCAGTTCCCCGCGTACCTCTGACAGAGGACGGCAGGAGGAAGATAAGTACGTCTCTGTCATGTCCAGACAAGTGCCACTGGTTGTTTACAGGCTAACAAGCGAAAGGAAGAGCCCTCCAGAGACGAGCGACTGGCGCAGCTGCAGGCAGCCTAAGGGAAACCGGGCTCCCAACGGACAACCCCTCACAGCAGCAGCGCCTGTGCCAGCAGCCGGGGCCAGAAGGGAGGGCAGAGCACTAACACCGACCCCGCGTTTCTCACGGGAAGCAGGGGACCCTCCCGGCGCCGTCAGGGGGGGGAAGGACGAGCCCTCGGGCCCGCCCG